AGTATACGCGGCAGAAAAACCCGCGTATACCCTGTCGTAATTTTGAAACGAATGGGCCAACCATAAGGACTGAGTAAAAATGCAGAAACTGTCCAATTTGGGGAAAAATAGGACAGTTTGTCTCGGCCAATGAAATTAAACTATTAACTTTCCGAAGATTATTGAAGGCCACGCGAAACCTTCCGAAGATCACCCGAACACTCCCGAAGATTTCCGAAGATCCCCCGCACACTTCCGAAGATTTCCGAAGATCACCCAAACAATTCCAAAGACTTCCGAAGATCACCCGAACACTTCAGAAGATTTCCGAATATAAATTAAATAATAAATTACTTAATTGGCCACTCCCCATTGGGGTTTTTCAGGACCAATATCACCCGAACATCTCCGAAGATTTGCGAAGATCACTTGGGTACTTCCGAAGATCGCCCGAACACTTCCGAAGATTTCCGAATATCACCCGAAGATTTCCGAATATCACCCGAACATCTCCGAAGATTTCCAAAGATCACTTGGGTACTTCCGAAGATCGCCCGAACACTTCCGAAGGTTTCCGAAAATCACCTGAAGATTTCCGAAGATCACCGAACACTTCTCAGGATTTCCAAAGACTTCCGAAGACTTTCCGACTTTCCGAAGACAATCTCCGGCAATCTCCGAAGATCACCGGATATTTTCGACGCTTTCCCAAGTTTCAGAAGATTGAGGGCCCAGTCTGTTTTTCTTCAGAGACAGTTACTGTAGTTTTCCTTGCAGTCTTATTCCATATACAAAGAAACCTCCGTGAAAGAAGGAGAGAGAACAGTATTCCTTCACTTCCATACAAACGCTGGAAAACTACAAGGTTCATTTTCTCGGCCCTAAGCTGAAATGACAGCAATTAATGACATTAATGAACTCAATAATTGACTAGCATTGGCATTTTGGAAATAACTCTATTTGCTCGCCAAATGACTTGTTGCGTTCGGCGAGATGAAGACTGGAGTGAGATTTTATGGGACAATCGGTCGGCCTTGACAAAATTGGCCCCCCTTGGAGCAGGGGCGAACACTATAATACTGAGTTTCGCGTTTTGGAAAAAATCGCGAAAATTAATTCAGTACCTGCAAAAATTTCGGACCAAAATAGTGTCCGAAAATAAAACCGTCTGATATATTAAAAGCATATCGGAAAACTTTAAAGCATGCACATTCTTGGCGACGCCATCAAATGTATTTAAGGCCAATGTTCATGATAGAGCCGAAACTCGGTTCTGTTCATTATTTTTATCACTGAAAAGAAAGTTTTTGTTTCTTTTATGAAAAACATAATGCAGATGAAATCCATTTTGCGGTACATAGTTATGATTTTTGATCCAAGTTTTAATGATAATTGCATTGCCAGTGGTGCTAGTCCTCTTCTGCTTCATTATCAATCAACACAATCGAACAGTCCTCTTCATTGTCAATTATTTCTCTTACGGAGCGAACTGACACTGAGTGAGATTGTATTATTTTATTGTCAGCTGGGGAATCAGTAGAACCTTGAGGGAGTAGTAAAACCATAATTCGTTTCAACCTAATTCGTGTTTTGTGGGCGAAAATTAAGTTAAGCTATGTTCAGCGGTGTCCGAAATTTTTGTCCGAAGTTGTCCGAAATTAGATAAAAAGTTTCCGAAAAGTTTTCCGAAACGTCCGCAGATTTTTTGCAAGTAATGTACACGCGAAAAAAAGAGTGCCAATAATATTTTTACAATAACTGTCTAATTTCTCGCGCGCTGATTGGCCCATTTTTATCATCAATAAGAGCACAGACGGTTAAAATTTTAATTTATGCAAGCTTTCAAGGTCAACTTTCAGCTGTCAAACTGTCAACTTTTAACCAATGAGATTTTATTGACTTTTTTTAAGTAGCCAATCAAAAAGCTATTGACAATGTTCGTGTCATTTTGAACAAAATTCACTTATCTTTGTTTACGGCAAGTTTACGGCGTCTTTTCCCTCATTTATTCCCGGCATTTAACCATTTTGGGGTCTTGTTATTGCAAAAAACAAATCGACGTCAGTTTTCTAGCGTCTGTTCTCTTACTGATGATAATTTGCGTCATAACATTGTCAAAGTTTACTGCGGAACCAGACATAACATTGCCAAAGTGGCTGTGGAACCACGAGCTGCAGGTGAGTGGTTCCGCAGTAAACTTTGACAATGTTATGACGCAATTTATTATCAATAAGAGGACAGACTCATAAAAAACTGACGTCAATTTGGCCAAACCTAAAAGCGGAGCTTTTGGGTCGGGTTGTTGAAAGCCTGAATAAACTAGGATAAGCGAGAATTTTGATTTGAGTTTTTTTCCTTGCGGCCCTTCGAGCTACCGGAGCTCCGCTATTAAACGCGTGAAATTCAATAACAGATTAGGTAAGTAAACAATACATGGATCTTAAATGTTGAGTCACGGGTTCGTTGACAGTTGTTCGATTTCTGTCTTTGAACTAATAGAGTCTTAGGGTCTTGTTTTCAACTAGTTAGTACTCTTCCTCCGATTTTAATGCTGTTTTTTCCAGCTTGTAAATCCGCCTAAACCTCTTTAGTACAGTTATCAGTCATGCTCGGATCAGGATTTGGCAGATTAAAGCAAAGGCAAATCTATTTATGAAAAGTTGTTTCCTAGAATCACGAAAATTAATACTCGCGAAATGTAGCTCCTGAATTTTTAGAATTTTCCTGAAATGACGAACGTGTGAAATTTAGTAAAACCTGTAGATCGTTTTCACGTGACGTCATCAAATTCCAGAATCCAAAACTAAAGAGCCACGAAAATTTTATCCTCATAAGGTATAAGGATATCTAAACTTATATCTGTTTACAACTTTTCAGCTCAATAGCGTGCTCACCAGCGCCGTTTGAGGTTCAGAGTTACGGCGGTGCGTGACATACCGCTCTGATCGCGTTTTTGGAAAAATATACACTTATCTGGTGATTTTCAACCCTTTTAGGAGTGTTAGGAAAAGAGCTTGTGTAAATGTTTGCTGGTTCAGTTCAGATAATCAGTTGCCTAGATAGCCAAAGTAAGTTCCAGATGTTTGCACTATTTTCCGGTGGCCCCACCCCCAAGCCAAGGAAAAGACCCTGGGAACGAGGTTGTGGGTTCTGTAAATTTGCGCA